AGATCAAGATACATTCTGCTGAGCTACGCAGACTATTATTTACTAGCTGTCCTTGAAATAAAAAGGGAACAACCAATGAAAATGAAACATCTAAATAGATCAAGATACATTGGCAGGTGATTTGAGACAGCCAGCATGGCTTCACCAAGGGCAAGTCCTGCCTGACCAACCTAGTGGCTTCTACTAAAATTCTTCCTGCAGTTCTTGATGCATGCTACAATCATCTTTATCCTCATATTAAAGATACCTAAGGAGCGTTATTTCACCTGATTACATTGCCACATTTCACCCCAAAGGTGACCACTTTCCTGGCCACTGAACTTATTTCTTGTCTATTCGTAACAAGAAAAGTACTTTCTGGTTTAGAGATGTTAAATAAAGGTTATATATTATTATAAATGCACCTCTCAACTGCCATAGACCGACAGATTTAATGACTGGGACAAGAATCACAGAGCAAATTATTATTAAAATAACGCATGGAATGCTCCTGCAGTTAAGGCTGGGTTGACTTTCTATTTTCAAGCCCACTATGCAGTCTGTAATATTGCAATACTCTAAAATAGCCTGGGGCTTTGTGAACAATATGCCATTAGTAAAGATAGAATATTTCTTTTCTTCTTTTCTAAAACGAGTGGATAGATTTCTGTTTCTTCCTCCTGAGTTGAAAATAATCTTGTCCTGTTTTGAACTTACATCCAAGTAACATTTTCAAGCAGCTAATAGATGGAGGCATTTCACTATGCTAAAAAATTGTAGTATTTGTACATTTGGAAAACAATTATTGAGGATGCAGAGTAATTAACTGTCCATAACCTCATTTGTCATGACATTGATTCCATCATTTATCTTCAAGGGATTTTTTTTCCCATCCCACAATCCCAATGATGTCAGTGCATGTGTACTGGGGTGACAGTACAGTAACAGAAGGAAAACATGACATCTTCATTTCCATATTACCTTTCATGCCAAAATCACTTCAAAGCACTGTAAAAAATACAGTCCTCAAAACCAGAAATTTGTTTCCTATGTTAAAATGCAGTATTTAAAATGGCTGTCCTTTGGCTTAATATATATAGGTGGAATTCATATTTTGAACGTGATGAAGTGCCTGTTGTGATAGGACAAGGGATAATGGTCGTAAACTAAAAGAGGAAGGGTAGATTTAGACTGGATATAAGAAAGCAATTTTTTACAATGAGGACGGTGAAGGGCTGGAATGGGTTGCCTAGAGAAGTAGTGGAGGTCCCATTCCTGGAAACATTCAGGGCCAGGCTGGACGGGGCTCTGACCAACCCGGTCTAGTTGAAGATGTCCCTGCTCACTGCAGGGGGGTTGGGCTAGATGACCTCTAAAGGTCCCTTCCAACCCAAAGCATTCTATGATCAATGATCAAAGGAAATTATTTTGGAAAACAAAATATTATTGCAGCAATAAGATTTCTAGGATTTAAAATGTATCAAACTTTTGTATAGCTAATAATAATATCTACTCTTAAATTTTGGTTAGAATAAAATGGATACAGGACATAACCCCTCATGTTTTATAATATAACAACTGAATGTGGAGGGTTTTGCTAGAGGCGTTTTACTGAATGGTTGCCTGTTACTGGACATGTTAGCCATCTTCTGAAATATCTGCAGGACTTCAGCGAAAGTTGACAGACCCTAAGGACAAGGGAGGGATTTTGGCAACAATTTTTTTCTGACCTTCTATAACATGCAAGAGACAAAGCAAAGACATACTCTAGCAACAGAGAAAACAGATGGGCAAGTCATTGTTTATACTACCACAATGTCCAAAATATGGTCGAAATTTTACAAGGCATCCAAAAGCATACAAGTAATAATCTAATAGTACAAAAAGGCAAAGCTATATGAAGAGGAAAGTGGAATACAACGCTGAACAAACAAATGAGCAAGAGGATGCTGCGGCATTTTATTAGTAACATACTGATTGTTGGTAACTTTTTCTCCATTCTAAAATTAAATGCTCTAGATAAAATCCTGATTGATTAATTATGATGTTTATTGATGGTTTCAGGGGCACCAGAGTTTTGCTCTATAAAGTCACGTCCGTTATTTCACCATGATTTGCAAACTCAGTTCCAGTGTCTCTTGTGCTATAAACACTCAACACGCACTCCTCAGTTTCCCTTATATGGAAGAGCATCTAACTCGGAGGATAAACTGAATGAGTATTAGCTCACTTAATCAGATAGATTCTGGTAGGTGTCTTGAAAGAAGGAGAAAACAGGAACATTACAAAAGAGATGAGAAATGCAAGTTCAAAGATGGCATTACTATAAAGGCAAAGGAGGTAAGCAAGACAGGCAGTGAGACAGGTAACTCGAATGGAAGGACAGATTTTCTACTAATTGCTAAGAAGTAGTAGGACCAGTACTTCCACCAATACAAAACTGGACAAGATGTATTTAGATTTACAAGGACAAAAAAAAGACAAAAAAATCCAGTACAATGTGGCAACAAACAGGAGTGAAGGCAGTGGCAAATGAGAGAAACCAACTCTAACCCCAAACTCCAATGGCGCAAAGCCTACTAAACATGCCAGAAGCTACAGGAATGATACATATAGAGTAAATATAAAAAATTCACTGGATTTATAGAGATGGTTGTAAACAATTCTAAATCTCTGAATTCCTCGAAGTTACTTTCAAGCATAATACTTTAATACACGACATCAGTAAAGAATACTACAACCAGCTACTTTTGTTTTTAAAAAACATAAGGATGTTGAAAGCAACAAAGAATAGCATTTGGCATGATGAACATTATGCACAATCTAAGCAAATGAAATGTTTAAGAGGGATTATATAAGAATGAGAATAATAAATCATTTAGTCTAGTGGTCAGTGATGGCTGCCAAAGGCAGTTGCTGAAAGAGAAGGTAGTTACAGATAGCCAAAGAATATTGGCATTTAGGAGAAGAAGTATTACTTATTTTCCACCTAGTAAATTGCTGCAGAGAACCAGAGTGACTTTTCCAGAACAGAACAACAAGAAGTCATGGAGTAGCATGAGAATTTGCATGTACTCCTAATTATTAAGTTAGTTACTGGGCTGCTCATGGGGTCAGTGAGAGGAGAGGGAGACAGGGGTAGTGAAGCATAATAAAATTCTCCAGTTATGGAGATACGCATAGCTATTTGGCTCTGGAATTCTTTATCAGGTTTTACTGCAATAGTTTCAGTGATGGATTCCAAGGGACGCACAGTAACCTGAAAAAAATCAAGTGTACTCAAGTAATGGGCTACCTCCTCAAAACGTATGCTTGAAAGTAGTACAGCCAGATCAAAACACAGAAAATACAGAAGATGTTTTGAATACTGTTTAATATCCTTCTGAGTTTGGGATGTTTCTGGAACATTTGGATCACATTTTAAAATTTTACTTCATAGGTATAGAATGTTTAGTTTGACTTTTCATTTGAATGCAATCCAGGATTGTTCCATGAACAGCTCTTTCTGGGAACTCTGTATCAAATATTGCAAGCTTCGTGATGAAATATTGAGACCTGGCATGAAATAACAGGTGGGAAAAGCATATTTTCTAACGGCCACATCAAGCAAATAGTTCGTACCCTGACACAGTAGTTTACAGAGAACCATGGTGACACCGATTTCTGTTAAGAAACTTCTTAACTCATTGCAATAGTTAATTTGTACATTCATGTTCATCATTTTTTTGAGTAGTGGTTAGCTGTTCAGGCAACACGTTGGTTGAAATAACAGGTGGGAAAAGCATATTTTCTAACGGCCACATCAAGCAAATAGTTCGTACCCTGACACAGTAGTTTACAGAGAACCATGGTGACACCGATTTCTGTTAAGAAACTTCTTAACTCATTGCAATAGTTAATTTGTACATTCATGTTCATCATTTTTTTGAGTAGTGGTTAGCTGTTCAGGCAACACGTTGGTTGCTTATAAATGACTGTGCAGCCGAGAGCACCGAGCGTCGGGGACAGGTCTCCCTGTCAGGGCTGGGCC